AAAAACCTGGCAGGTGTTCTAATCCATCATCACTGTATCCAAAAAAAAAAAAAAAATTTTTTTTTTCTTTAGTTATTAAGTTATTGAGTTGTCTTTTAGGATATCAAATGGCTGGCACTTATGACATATAAAAAAGGGACCAGCTGATCAGCTAAACCTAATTATAATCTGTCAAAGCTGTGCAAAAAACTATAGTTCCCTTTCACAAAGTCCTATAACTGCTAAGACAGCAACTGTATGGTAACTTGCTTGATCAGTCTACAGTTCTGCAACAAAATGTGCTAAATGTTAATATGGAACTAGTGTGTCTACTGACACGTGATGTGTTCATCAGTCTGACATGGGGGGGGGGGGGGATATGAATCATCTGCACCTTTCAACCAGTGAAGAAGAGCTGACCATGCGATACCTGGAACATCTGTTCATTAGAGGAGAATTGCTTCAACCCACTGTCTCAACTTCACACTGAGTAAGAGAAGCTTTAGTTTTTGAGATGGTCTCTGGCGCCCCTGTAGAGAAACATGAAAACAGCACAGACCGGCTGTGTATATATACTGTATAAATTTGTAATTGTTCTATCCAGATGTCCTTTCTTCAGATGTGCAGGATACACATAGGTCCTTTCTACAGATGTGCAGGATACACAACCATCCTGAGTCCAGCTGGGGACACCCAGCCACTTCTCGAATTGGAAGTGATCTTTACTGTGAAAGCTTCAGATATTATACTACAGACTTGTGGCTGTAACTAATGTTTCTTCTCAGTGGTTCAGTTCATTCAGTTGGCCAGAACTGTAACATTCATTTAAAAGAATGTTTTGATCCAGAATCCTCTAAAATTCATTTATTCTAGTCATCCAAACACAGTTCTAATTCCGGCACATCTTAAGAAGGGATCTCTTTGTAGCACATTAATAAATTAGACATAGTAACATCTTTCTTCTGTTCCTGCTGGTAGAAGACGCAACAGAAATTATGTTAGGATTGGTTATCTTGAATATTTCTTGGCAGGGTAGGTACCTGCCAGCTCTATACAGATTTCTACTGGAGAGTTGAAGAATTCAATGGAGTGTGCAAGACAATGTTTACTGTTGGTTACTCATGCAACTACTGCATGAATCTAGCAGGATTCTTCATTTTTTTAGTCTGCTGTACAACACTTCAATCTTGATTTGGGTCTAACTTATTTAAGTTAACTTAAACTCATCTTCCTGCTTCTCTTGCATCCCACACACTACGCCAATGTCCTCGTCATGAGCACAGTCGTGTTCACCAAGTCTTGACCTTTGGCATTCCAAGAGTGTCTTCTCGTGCCCCCGGCATTTCACCTCATCTAAAAGGATTCTCAGTCCTTTGCCTTCACCAAATTCTGTTCTTCGGGCAACCTTCAACACATAAGGGTACCCTAACTGTCTACACACCACTGAAGCAGCCTTACTGTCAAATCTGTCATTGCAGACAGTCCCCCACTCTCCGTTTATATGAATCTCCACCCTACCTCGGTCAGGCAGCTTTTCCTCATTAACCAGACGCACGGTTCCATGTTTAATTTTCTTCACCACCTTCACTCTTTGTTTTTTCACAACCTTTTTTTTGGTCTTCTTTATACCAGGGCTGTTCTTGGGTTCAGTTTTTCCTCCTGGCTGGGTTCGTCTCTGAGATGGCTGCCCCGTGGTCAACAGTGGAGAAGTCTGTGTTGACTGTGATCTTGTCCTGGTGGTGAATAAATCTTTCAATTCACTCTGCCATCCTCTGGTTGGGATCCAGCGATTTGTCATAGGCCGTGTGGTGACCGTGACTTTCACAGGTTTCTTAGTTGCACCTTTCTCTGTCTTTGGTACAGGTGTTACGGTTTTTCTTGTAGTTGCTATCCTAGGCACTGGGGCAACAGTAATGTAAGCGGGCGTGCTTGACTTCCTATGAATGCTACTGGCAGGAGATGTAACAGTGATGTGAGGTTCTATGGTTGTGCTGAACTTGGTTGGCTCCAGGGATCTTGATGAGGGAGATGTTGGTGGGGATTCAGTAGTTGTTTTAAGAATGAGTTCTTAAAAGTGGACAATAAAAAACAGGTTTAAATTCTCAAAAATAATGAATTGCCTGTAAAAATATCTACAGAAAAAAACATTTGTTCATAAGCAGCCACTATCGATTTCAGACACTATAAATAACAGTGTTATTTAATAGTATGTCTACTTTAAGGGCCAGTCCACAAAAAACTGACATGTTAGTTACGGATGGACCCAGTTACCGGTTTCATATACCATTCTTGTTTTCTGTCTTTCCCAAAACTTCCAACTCTGTAAAAATAATTTTAAAGCTGCACTCAAGCGTTAATATATTGGCATACTTACATTGGGCCAGCTTGAACCAGTGTAAGTATGCACATATAATACCCGAGCGGCTTCTATGTAAGCTGTAAATCACTGTAGAAGCCCAAGCTACTAGGGGCTGGCCACAATATTCTTGGGCCATGTCAAGTGGCTGACCTTGGCTGTATAATAGCCACAGGGGGCCATTTGCTCAGCAATGAATGCAAGGCGTTCTTTGATTGGACAGTTCTGCCAAGTGAGCAACCCCCTGTGGATATTATGCAAAAGTACAGTTGCTCAGCCCAGCACCCAGAAGATCATAGCCATCATTGCAGTAGCACTCAGGCTACTACAGTGCTTTACACATGGCTTAAAAACTTTAATGTCCATTTTTGGTGTGACCTTTTAAGGCAGGGGTCTCCATACTTTCTAAACAAAGGGCCAGTTTACTGTCCTTTAAACATTAGGGGGCAAAACTGTGGCCAGTGGGAGTAGACAATGCCCCATCATTGGTATTAGGGGGAGTTATAGTGCTCCAAAATTGTTATCAGTGTGAGCAATAGAGCCCCATAATTGGTATCAATGGGAAGAATACTGCCCCATCACTAGTATCAATTGAAGGTATAGTGCCCCTTTATTAGTATCAGTGAGAGGAATAGTGCCCCATTGTTGGTATCAATGGGAGGAATAGTGTGCCATAATTGGTGTCAGTGGGAGGAATTGTGTCCAATCATTGCTGTCAGTGGGAGGAATAATGCCCCAAGGGCTGGATAAAAGCAAGCAAAGGGTCACATCCGGACCCTGGGCCGTAGTTTGGAGACCACTGTTCTACGTAATATGTTGCACAGACCAATAATAACCTACCCCAAGGTTGCACATGAGTGCTTGAGTCCATACAACATAAATTCTGGCATATTTCCCCCACCCAGGGAGCCTAGGTACATGTACACCCACCAATAGACATGAATGGCTGTATGTAGCTGTACTCAGATATAATGGCAAGTGCTGTATAAACACAAAAGTAAAGTAAGCACAAGTATAGTGTACAGACATATGCAAAAAAAAAAAAAAAATAGAAAATGTTCTACTTTTGCATACTCCTGTGTATGCTATACGTGCTTTCAGGTGTCTTTGAGCAAGAGGCCTGTGGTTTAAGAAGAACATACAAACAGACAGAAATTGTGCTGGAGGAATATATAGATAATTAAAAACAGTTCATAAAAAGTCCAATAAGTAATAATAGCAGCATCAGTGGCAGCACCCTTAGAATGAAGCTGAGACTCTGTAATGAAAAGAAAGGGAAACAGGAGCGCCAGACTAAGTGCAGCATTAAAAGACTTGGGTTTATTAAATCGTGCAATTAGCAACCCACAAATACATGGAGAAATTAGGCATGTCAGTACATCCACAGATCCCTCCTTGGCAAAGTCAGCCAGTATGACAGTCACAATGCAGTCTAGCGGTGAGTGATGCACTCCAGGAAGTGGCCGGCCGCCGAGGAGGGATCTGTGGATGTACTGACATTCCTAATTTCTCCATGTATTTGTGAGTTGGTAATTACACGATTTAATAAACCCAAGTCTTTTAATGCCTCACTTTGTCTGGTGCCCCACTGTTTCCCTTTCTGTAGGTTAAAAAGGCAGATCCTACCTGCAGTTTCAGCACCCACATCTTTCTTCCTCCTGTAATCTTTTACAGAAGATAGATGGGTGAGTGTGTTTGTAGGATAATATACATCTATAGAGCATTACTTACTTTGCTTTGGATAGAAATCCACCAATTTTCCTTTAATAGGGACAGACCGAGGTGTAAAAGGACATTTGCCTGGAGCAGCTCTCCTGGTGACACATAACCATACATCTCATATAATACATTCCCAATGAATCACCAACACCTATGGCATTACCACTGAGCACTATAACTATTTTTCAGCTGTACTTTCTATAGGTCTTACATCACTCCACAGCCTGCATCTATGGCAGAGGGCTTTAATATAATTTCTTCAACAGCAGCTGTCACATCACTTCTTCAGCTGCACTATGTAATACACATCTAATGACTACTCTCTGTATCTCCCATTTTGCATTTGTTGGGGATTTTATATCATTTTACCAGCTGCACCATGTATAGATCTAAAATAACCAGGGCTAGATCTACCATTAGACAGTATAGGCCTTTCCCTATAAGTGTCAGAGGCAAAAAGGTGACTTTTCTTTACATAGTTTTCACCCACCTTTTGCCCCAAAGAATTTGTAGAAACTTTACATCTCATACACGGTTATGTATACGTGGCTGCAATATTCCAAATCGGGTTACAACCTCTAAAACAGGAAAATGTTTCATGTACAAAAGGTGATTCTAGCAGAAGGTTGTTGCGCTGGGTACCAAAGGTTGTGTATCTACAGGTTAGGATGATGGAAATCTATGACTTTAAGCATTTCACCTGTACTAGCTGTCTAATCTTTTGGTGTATATCTATGAACTCCATCTGCATTCTATTGGTCTCTAGCAGCCAGTAAAATGAAAAGTTCACATCTTGGAACCAAGAGCAAGGGAATCATTATTTGGAAGTGTGATAGATGGCATCCTCTAACATGGTATGTATTTTCTTTTTATTTAAATCATAGCTACACTTTATACCCCCCTTCCCCATCTGGCAATATCAGTTAATAAATATGAAAGCAGTTATTTACTTGGATGGATCTACTATTTTATACATGACTCCTGCAGCCACTGCAGCGCTGGGTGTCCCTGTAGACAAGAAATAGAGTTCTCCTGAAAAGAGAGAAGAAATCAATGTGAAACAGTGATCATTATACTGATCGTATGTATTTTGTGTTTTAGGTGTAATTTCTGATTCACAAGTGGTAAGCTCACACAATTGAGCTGAGTCTTTATGCAGACGTGTTTGCTTTTGTTTCAGGCTTGAATTTTTATTTTTTGACCAATGGAAAGCTAGTTAAGAGGCACGAAAATGCATTAAAAGCATTTTTTGCATTTTTGTCAAGCACCTTCTTTGAGGTAGGGTTGCATGGTTTGACCCTATCACTGTCAAAGAAGCTTACATACTTTTTTGAAGGATGGGCTTACAGCTTCAAACAACATTACACTCAAGTGTGAATGGGTATTATTTGGTATAATTGGAGTCCTAAAGTGGAATGTTGAAGCACTTCTGGTGAAGGTTCAAATCCCTCAGGTATGATCAGAGTCTATCATTTGTGTGACAAAATCCAATCCACTAACTACTTAATAGAACCCGTTCACTTCTTGGCTTGGTTTGTTTATTGGTCTAATTTAAAGACAATGACAACAGCAAGCTTGGGGTATGGACAGCAAGCAAGCATTTATTTATTCACTTTAGCTTCGCAATTGCAAATAGATTTTAAGGGAAAACATCAGGTAAAAATCATTAAGGTTATAAGCATATGGATGTTTTGACATGCTGCAAATGACCTGTAAATGGACTAATTCTTTGGAGCCATTTACATCAGTCCCTCAAAAGGTACCTACAGTTTATTGCCACTACTACAGTTTCATGTGTACAAGGGCCAGATTTGGGCTAAATCCAATTGTGGTAAAAAAAAACAACAAGCAAAACTGTAGCAACCAGAGGCAACCCACAGAAATGAGATTAACTTACATGCAGATAGTGTCCTGGTGGAAACTGATACCAGGGTCACATCTCTGCAAAGTAAGTGTTCCAACTAGTTAGCCAGCACACACCAAGTACTGACAGCTCAATCATGTCATACAATTCATTTTATTGCTCTATTTTTACCTTTAAACAATCTTACACACACACATATATATGTAACGGCCCTTAGTAGGCTATTTAGTTTTTGGTGTCCCAGTTATCAGGGAGAGCAGCAATCATTGTTTATCGTCTGTGCTAGATTCTGCTGGTGCAGGCTCAGCCGCTTTCCCCTGCATCTCCATATATTTTAGGATATAGTGGGCGGAACTGTTTTGACTCTGGCCTGCATATTCATGCCTCTTCAGCCAATTCCTGGTCGGAAGATTGAGTGACCAGCAGAGGGCTGAAAGGGGTATCAATAGGCCTAGAGCAGCTTCCTCTTCTTCCTGGGGGAGTAAGACCCAGCCTGAGAGCTGATGCATCCCTGGGAGATCACCTGCAGCTTCAAGAAATTCTTTATGGGGTCTCAGCTCCTGCTTGGGCTTGGAGACCTCTGGCCTAGCCTACTGAACACATGCAGAAAGCTCATCTGAGGATCCAAAACCTAGGCAACAAGTACAGGATCTGACTAATACTGTAGAAGCCAAGACAGTATTCAGGGCACAGTGAGTACTAGCCTTTTTGGACTCTATAGAAACTTTCTTGGGGAGAGCTTAGAACAGTACATCCGCACTATACACCTGTTGAACAGTCTCCATTTGGAATCATGGACCTTGTATGCGACACACACACACACACACACACACACACACACACACACACACACACACACACACACACACACACACACACACACACACACACACACACACACACACACACACACACACACACACACACACACACACACACACACACACACACACACACACACACACACACACACACACACACACACACACACACACACACACACTTTACTTTTCCTAATAGGTTGTCTCCCAATGTTACCTGCCTCATCCTCTCCAAATGATATAATATAAGGGTAGTAGCCATTGATGAGTTTGGGAAAGTTGCAGTCCTGAGCCGGTCCCATACACAGCTCTGTGTACTGCCATTGGCCATCCTTGTCTTCTTTTAGTGACATCAGACGTCTGAAGCAATACAAATGTTGAATATAATTAATATGGATGTTACATTATGCTTGGTGCCCTGTGTGTGTCACCAGAAAGGGCAATTTAACTGTCTTATGAGAGATAATGCCCTATACATCACTAGGAGAGTCACTGGGGTTGATTTACTAAAGACAAATAGGCTGGGCAGATTGCAAATGCAATTGCTCCAGAGCTTAGTAAATGAGAGGAAGCTCTGCTGACTTCCATTATCCAATCATGTGAAGCACAAATGCTTTTTTTTGTTATTTTCCTTGCATGTATTCTTTGTAAAGTAAAGCTGTACCTCATTTTCAAGTGCAGTTGCTCCAGAGCTTAGCAAATGAGGTAAAGCTGTACTTTACAAAGAATACATGCAAGGGAAGAAAAACCACAGCATTTTTGCTGCACATGATTGGATTATGGTAGTCAGCAGAGCTTACTTCCATTTGCTAAGCTCTGGAGCAACTGCACTTGCAAAGTGCACAGTCTATTTGCCTTTAGTAAATCAACCCCATTGTGTCTTTCTTAGTGATAACTGTTAAAAAAAAAGTGTTAAATAAGTCTGATTACATATTATCTTATTAAAAGCCTGCATTATGATTTATGCCAGCCTGTTATGCACTAGAGGATCTGAGTTTCGCTCTCACCCACTCATGAAGTCTCCAAAGATGTAGCGCCCCATGAGGTTAGGCATTTGACATCCACGGTAGATGTAACCCCCAGTGACTGACTTACCCAGGGAGTGAGGATAGGCAAATATAGGTAATATGTCATCTAAAATAAAAATGGAAAGATTGAGGTGTCACAGTGCTGGAGTAACAAACAATAACAAAGTAGCACTAATATAAAATTCTTAAAATACACAGTTTATGGATGCTTAGACTACTTAGCAGAAGTGTAACTTATCAAAATGTTCCCATAACTTTAGCATCAAATACTATACACATGACACAGGTGCGGGGTATTCATAGGTATCACCTCTTTCTGAAAGGACAATAAAGCCCACGTTATCGCCAACAAGCCGCACATGTTCAGCACACTCGCTTTTTAATCCCAAGAAGAGTTTATACATAGTAACAACTTCTCATACACATGCCTAGAGTGGTGGGTTTTGCTACATTGTATACACTTTAGTGTTATTTCTTGTGACTTTCTTGGACTAGGACAGCTTGTCGTGTTGGGACAACCCTGAGAAGGCAGCCTGACAGTCTATGGCTCACTCAAGCCAACAGTGTTAGGCAGTGTTGGCCAACGCAGTCCAAATGCAAGAAAAGGGCAAATTGCTGTATGCACTAGGGCTTTAGTTCACACCAATGTGCTAAACACAAAGTAAGATCATTTACATTTTTGCTGAGCATCCCAATGTGCTGCAATGCATACAAATCACCTAGAAGTTGAAAAAAAGAACAAGCACCGTAATGTGTTTTAACAAGGCATTGCAGTGCTTAGCAGTGTGTGTTCACAATGCACATGAGGAGACACATACCATGCGTATAATAACACAAGCTGTGTGGTTTGATTGATCACTTAGCTGTACACTGCAGTCAGTCTAACTAAATAACATAGTATATGCGCAGCTGTCTACAGATGTGTGCACCCTGTAAATTCCTACCTGTACTAAGTTTGGAAGGAAAGTGTATCATTGGTCAGTATACATAACGAGACTTTTACCTCTAAAGCTACCCATAGTCATAGAGGGGTGGTCAGCCAAGCATCCATTACCTGAATACCCTTCAACTCCTGACACCATCAATGGGATTTCAGTGCTGAAAATATGTTAAAGCCAAACAAAACACTCCCCAAAGCAGAGAATGCATAGAACCTTTACTGCTATTTGTGTCTCTGTTGAGTCCCTTCCCTTCTGGTCAGGGCTGGAAGCATTAAGAAATCTCTCCAACTAGTACACAGGCTAAAGCACAATTTCAGTAGAGTGAGGAAGGGTTAAATTGTCTAAAAATGTATCGCTATTTATGCCTACCTGTTCTAGTACTATGTAACACCCCCCTATCCACCCCCCATTTCATGCTCTGATGTTACAGAGACACCAGAACAAGAACCTTTAACTCTTCTGCCTCTATCCAAAAAAAAAAGGAAAGAAAAAAATGGCAGGAGAACATGTGTGCATAAATGTTGTGACATCTATCCTTATCAATACTAATCGCAGATGTGAAGTAGGGGCTGGTGCAAGATATCACAGAGCACAGCAGGGGACACAGGCATACAACACTCCTGTAAAGTGGGGTACACACTAAGAGAAAATTGGAAGAAAAAAAATCTGTACTAGGCACGATCGTTCGATTTTCGTATAGTGTGTACAAAAAAATGAAAAAAAAAAAAAAAAAAAAAAACACATACAAAAAACTGCATAATCAGAAACAATAAACAACAAAAAAAAGCCATTGTCCTATGAGAATTTTCATACAGTTATTACCACTCTTTGTTTTGACCTGCTGTGAAACATTGAGGAAAACCAGATGATCGTTCCTCTGAGTTTCTTATAATGTGTACTAGGCTTAAATGTGCTGGATGCTGAAGATTCTTCAACAAGCCCATCTCCTGAAGATAGCAGAGTTTGTTGAGATGACTAAATATCAATGCTTTTGTTCGCCTTCTTTAAAGTTGGCCATAGATGGATCGAAATGTGGTTGATTCAACAAGGACCTGCCAAATTTCGATCCATCTATGACCATTCCCACTTGAGTCAATGAATGTAATGAGAATTTTGAAATAAGCTTTGTGTACCAATATTTCCTGTTCATCCAATTCTAACCCTAATACTCAATCTAATCAAATACAATAGCACAGCAGGGAGGATTCCTATATCCACCTCGCTTGTGTGGATGGAAGGATCCATTCATTGTTTTTGCAATCAGCCCACTGGCTAATCAAAAAACATGACCCTTATATGGCCAGCCTTACTTTCTTACAGACTGGTTTTAAACAATGGAGAAGGCCTGCTATTTACATTAACAGGTAGCATAATATCAAAAGCCTTCAGGTGCCCCCCCCTCTTCCTCAATTTAGGATTGGTCAAAATAAGAAATTCATACTCAGTACTGATTGGCTACACCCATTCAAGATTCATCAGGGTGAACAGACAAACCCCATGCAGACAAGTGGGAGTCCAACTCAGGACCGCATCACTTTGTAAGACCACCTAGGCACTATCTTACCTGACCTATGTTACACAGTAGATATAAATGTGGTTTGGTTGCCTTTAATTATTGGAAATGGAATTTCTATCTGTTGTAAGTATGCTTCGTCATTGGGGCTAATACAGAGAATTAACCTGACTTTCAGTGATATAAACAAGAAGGAAATTTGTGTCCATTGTGATTATTTGTTAGCAACTGCATCACTGTTTTTCCCTTCTGAATCAATGCTATGAGAAAAGTATTAGGATCAGAATACGATGAACAGGAAATATTGGTACACAAAGCTTATTTCAAAATTCTCATTACATTTATTGACTCATGGTTACAGCAGCAAAGGGACCCTAAATAAAAACATATGTGACCCACTTTTCTGAGGTGATCGAGACAGATGTGCTGATGCCCTGTGACGTGGCCTTGTATGAGTCTACCATACATCCAGACACTAGAAGATAAACTTCCTTCCTATCATTGTGTAATATGCTGCAGACTTTGGAACGATTGCATCGTGTCTCTGTGTGACAGATGATATTGTGGATTCTAAGTGTGTGCATATGCTGAGTGCCGAGTGTATATCTGGAATATATCATCTCTTTTTGTTTTAAATCACTTCTTATCAAAATAGCAAATTCAGGTAAGATAATTACACTGTCAGGTAAATTTTACCTCTGTTCTAAAGACACAAAGTTTACTTAATTTATCTTGATGTGAGTTTGGTTATTCAGCAACAACCACACCAAGTCCATAGAGGTGCATTATGAAGGATCAGTAGGATATAATGGAGGACTGGGCTGAAGGGTAGGAGGGCATTTTTCCATGGGCAAGTACTAATAAGATATGTTGTGATTGTGGCCCTAAACCTAAAGAAACTCTAACAGGTAGGATTTTAGGACAAGAGACCCCATTGGTCTCTTCTGTCATAAACCCTTCCCCCTGCCTCTCAGCGTTTATATATTCTGTGCCACGCATGCAGAGCTCAGTGTATGTTTACAGCAGGGTTAGGCAACCTTAAAGAGGCTGAGATCTACCTGAACAACATAGGAGAAGTCAAAGATCAATGGGCACAGTGTTGCCTCCTCACACCTGATTTATACCTCTAATTGCCATACTACCATGTCACATTCTCATGTATTGCACGGCAATCATGGGTTTAATCAAGTGATGAGGAGGTGCCTCCTCACCATCTGTCAAACATACAGGAATCTCTTTGCAGAGGAGCAGCAGTGCCTACTGCACCTGTGAATGAGCCCTTAGTTGTAATTGGCAGCGACACCCTAAGGGCTTATTCACATTTGAAGTTGGGGGAGGTTTGAATCATGGTTTTACCCCCCCAATCCCTACCCCCTTTAGCTGCTGAGGCAGCAGCCAAAAGGTGTACACATGCCGCAGCAGGAATTACACCCCCTGTTGCTTTTGGTGGGTTCTACCACCTGTCAATCGAGACCCATACAAGTAAGTGGGCCACTCTGCAAGTGCCCTGAAACTGCATGCTTCTGCGAGGTCCAAGAGCTTCAAGCAGGTGGTGAGAAAACAACACACCACTGCCTGTTTTAACCCCTTGTTTGCTGTACTGCACAAGGTTGCAGGGCAATTGCAAAGCAACCTCATTCACTTGAATGGGTAATGCTTGGTAGGTGCTACACCCACCAACCATGACAGGGCATAAGAGCAGCACTACAGAGGAGACATCAATTTATGCAGCTCTTGCTCCATACTACAGCTCCAACTTTAGAAGTAGTCCCTCTGCATTGCACTCTGTTTGATGCTCTGGGATGGCATGCCAGCAAGCCAAGACTGAGATCTACCAGTCACCTGGCCAAGATCTACTGGTTGCTGACCCCCAGTTTAGAGCAATGCTCTGTACTGTGATGGTGTGACTCCTGTGCATGGCAGTGACTTCATCATGGCTTGGCCAACCAAGCAACCGAAGAGATGGAGCTCCGAAGAAAGACCGGAAGCAGACAGCAGTGCCCAGTGCTAGAGGGGACCGCTTGCCAGGTAACTCTGCCATAATGTGCTAAGATGCTGTGTATACCAATTAAGATAGCAACACATGGTAGGTACAGCTATCTGCTCTCCATTTAGATGGTATCTAGCAGAGGAAATTCTTCTTGTACCAACTACCTTCGCAGTTCTGAGATGTCATGTGTGTGAATGCAAAAAGCCAAAAAGGAAGCTGGTATGCAAGTAACATCCACCTTTCAGCAAGCCCAGGGATCAGTGAGGAATGGGTGGCTCATAAATTACAATTGGTTTTATCAATTTTTTGCCAAAAAGGTTTATGATGTATAATTTGTTTTATGTATTTACCATGATCTTTTTCAGATGACTAGACTCCAGAAATGTCTATGGCTAACTGCGGCTATATCAAGGCAGCTATAAGCCTAAACTATTACTGATCTGATTTATTAAGGCTATTTATTGCCTACTCTGGGCAACTGGTTTCCCGTGGGTTCCTTTTTTTTTTTATTCATTTCTGACCTGGATCAAGCAACAGCAATAAATGAATACCATAAATAACAATTAAATACTGAGGTTAATTCCAAAAATGATCACAAATATTACATTTATACCAAAGTTTGATCTTAAGAAACTTTAATGAATAAATAAATGAAAAAGCAGAGTCACCCAAATAAAATCTTAACTGAATGGCAAGCAGGGTATACACATAGATTTTTTTTTTTCATTCAACCAGCAGGTTAAATTAAAAAAAGCAAAAGCACTCACAGTTCCCTGCATTCACACAAGTGATGTGGATGCAGGGATCTCCCCCATTGCATGGATTCCACCTGTCAGAATACACTCATTAGAGCTGCAGAAATTGGCTGCAGCAGCTGATCAAATGCTGGTTCTCCAGCAGGACTGTTCAGCAGAAGCCAGCCTTATGACCAGCTTCTGTTGAACAGAGAGGGGGGTATTCACATACCAAAAGTTGGACATCTCCATCAGAAGCTGATGTTGCACGGTGACAATGCACAATTGGATAAGGGCAGAAAGTTGCCACCATCTAACAGTAATTCTCTGAACAAGGATATTTATGGTAGGATCAGTCACCTGGCTGCACAATAAAGAGAGGATGTATACACTATATGTGTTTGGAGGCTGCCATTGCAGATTTTTGCTTCTGAAAATACTAATTGCCTTGCCGCTGATCCACTGGTTGCATTACTTTCTAAGGTACTGACCTAAACAAGTATGCAGATGAGGAATTCTGATGAGTTTGCTTTATGTCAGTGACTGACAATGCACTGAAGCCAGAAGCAGTCAAGCAACTAGCATTTTTAGAGGAGGTCAGCAATGGCCTAAGTATTTCTCTATTCAGGTTTTCATTAACAATCATGTTGTTTGGTGACTCACTGAGAGATGCGTTGTTACACAGCTTCTTGTCATAACAGGAGAATCCCTCCTTGGCTCTCCAGCCATAATTGCCACCCTTCTGGATGAGATCCACCTCCTCAAACTTGTTCTGTCCAACATCACCACAGATAATCCGCCCCCGTCCTTTCCCAGTGACTGGGTCACCTCTGTCCACTGAGCAGCGCCACATGTTTCTGGCCCCGTAGGCGTATACCTCTGGGCGAGCTGTGCGTTCTCGCAGGAAGGGGTTGTCCGGTGGTATACGGTAGGGAAGTCCCTTGTCATTGCCAGTGACATTGATCCTTAGGACTTTCCCTAAGAGAGAGGATCTGTTTGGGAAAAAAAATCAATATGTTAGTTTTCCTCAGAAGACCAATCTAATAAATTGGTGGAATTAGCTTTTTATGTTAAGATGCACTTAAGCAATATACAACGTATTATCACTTGATGTGTGCTTGTATCCTAAATATATTTTATATACTGTATATATATATGAGGTTGTATCAAAAAATTTTGAGACTGGTTTTGTAACACGCCAACAGATGTCAGCACAAGGCTGCATGCACAGTCACAGGGAGCACCAGCCTTCATAGGTCAGTGTGTCAAAAGATATCATCCTTTGTACAATGGGAGCTGTGCAACTGGTGCTATTCTGACCATGTGCATTACCACGTTTGCTATTTCATCATGGACAGCAAGTTAGAACAAAGAGCAAACATGAAATTCTGCATAAAACTGGGCAAATTGTCTGGAGTTTGGCTTTAATAACACTGTTCAACAGGTAAAAAGTTTTGGGCATAAAATTAGCTAATCTTACATAATTTTGGGGTGCTGAAAATGAAAAGGACCCTAAAAAATGTTGATTGGCTCTAGTTTCCATGATATATTCACCCATCTAATGACGTAAGCCATTCAAAATTATGATGCAACTTCAGCTGCATATTGCGCAATTGATACTGGTGACCAATAGAAAATTGCATGTATACTGAGATGATGCAATATTAGCCTTTAATTGCATCACTTCACTGCATAAAAGCTGCAGTATCTGTAGCTGATTGTAGTTCGACAGCGTCTTTTACATTTCGTTTTATGCTTATATAGGCTACTCAGTAATGCCTCGAACTTGTGTGAATAAAGCAGATAATTTCTGCTATATCTGCGGTGAAATAACTTTTATCTCACAAAAAAGGAGGATAACAGGAATGATTAAGAAAGCCTACAACTTGTATTTTGGCTGCAAGATAGGAGACCAGGACAAGAGCTGGGCACCACATATATGCTGCAATTCTTGTGGGACGGCACTGGAGCAATGGTTGAATGGAAAAAAGGCATCTATGCCTTTCACTGTGCCAATGATTTGGAGAGAGCCAACAGATCATGTTAGTAATTGTTACTTTTGTATGGTGCCTCCAATTGTAAAAGGGCTAAATAAGAAGAAAAAGTTATCTGTGCGCTATCCAAATATTCCATCGGCAATACGTCCAGTTCCTCATGGAGACGGGCTACCAATTCCTAAAGCACCAGAATCCTTCGTGGTTGAGTCAAGTGAGGAAGAACCTGAAGCGTGTAGTCACGTGCAGTTGTAAGAGAGATAGCCCTTTCCTCGAATACAAGAGAAAAGCCAAGAGAAGCAAAACCGACACAAACTGAAGACAAAACTAGTGAGAATCCTAAGTATTAAAATGATTCAACTTAGCTTATGGCTATAATTTTTCTTGGTAATCCTATGCAATATATTATGCCATTTAGGCTTTGTTATGTAGTCAATATCACTTGCTTTATATTTGTGGAAAGACATCTATCTATATAATTATTGTGCATTATGTAGTCATTACGCCTATAGTAGAAAACTTTCCGTTTACAGAAAAACTAGAGCCAATTGACAAATTTCATTGTTATATTTGAACTCAGAATGTGAAATTCATTAAGAAATGGATCCTTTTGTTTCCAAAACTGGCAAAAAATAAAAATTTGTTGAACAGTGTAATCTGTACTTACTTGTTTTGGGCATTGCCAAACTCTCCAAATGGATCACCAGCTCTTCCTCCATCCCCCGTGAAGATGTATAGGTATCCATCGATTCCAAATAGTATTTGTCCCCCATTGTGGTTGGATGCAGGTTCTGTCACTTCTAGGATTATTCTGAAAACACATACAAATGATTAGATGTGGTCACTCAATCTAATATACAGAATGTATACTAGTATTTATCCATACTGAACACTGAACTCTTTTCTGTCTCTATACTATAGAAAGCATATATGGAATGGTGGAATGCATAGCTAAGGTCCATGTACACGGATTTCCAGCAAGGACTGCTTATGTGGCTGTCTTTAGGTTAGTCTTCAGATTATGCTCAGTCTTGGACAGGCAACTCTACAAAAGTACAAATCACAGAGTATGGCTTGGAAGAAAGAAACCAGGAAAACAAAGCATAACCAATGACAGTAAGAGGTCTCTTGGACCGAAGGGTCATTCTTGTTTCAGAATTTTAGTTTTCTACAGAAGGTTCAGGAGAGGAACTATCAAATATCTGCACCACCATAAAGCTGTCCAATCCACTGCTGCAATCCACTGCCTGTAGTACTGGGTACATGGGATTCTATGCCATCTATGCTGCCTGCAGTACTAGTTACATGACATTCTATACCTTCTATGCTCTCTGCAGTACTGGGTACCAGGGGCAGACTGACCATTGAAGCACTCGGGCACTGCCCGAGGGCCAGGGGTCAGTAGGGGGCCCCAAGAAATGCCCTTGGTACCTTTTTTATAGGCTTTTTTTTTTTGGGTGTGCTTTGAGTGTGGGCAAGGACACAGGGGCCCCATGATCCCCTATTGCCCGGGGGCCCCATGAGTTGTCAGTCCACCCCTGCTGGGTACATGACATTCTATACCTTCTATGATCTCTGCAGTACTGGGTACATGACATTCTATACTTTCTATGCTCTCTGCAGTACTGGGTACATGACATTCTATACCTTCTATGCTGCCTTCAGTACTGGGTACATGACATTCTATTCTGCCTGCAGTACTGGGTACATGGGATTCTATGCCACCTGCATTACTGGGTACATGGGATTCCATGCCGTCTATGCTGTCTGCAGTACTAGGTACATGACATTCTATACCTTCTATGCTGCCTGCAGTACTGAGTACATGAGATTCTATGCCATCTGTGCTGTCTGCAGTACTGAGTACATGAGATTCTATGCCATCTGTGCTGTCTGCAGTACTGGGTACATGACATTCTATGTCGTCTATGCTGTCTGCAGTACTGAGTACATGACATGCTATGCCGTCTATGCTGTCTGCAGTACTGGGTACATGACATTCTATACCTTCTATGCTGCCTGCAGTACTGAGTACATGAGATTCTATGCCATCTGTGCTGTCTGCAGTACTGGGTACATGACATTCTATACCTTCTATGCTGCCTGCAGTACTGGGTACATGAGATTATATGCCATCTGTGCTGTCTGCAGTACTGAGTACATGAGATTCTATGCCATCTGTGCTGTCTACAGTACTGAGTACATGAGATTCTATGCCATCTGTGCTGTCTGCAGTACTGAGTACATGAGATTCTATGCCATCTGTGCTGTCTGCAGTACTGAGTACATGACATTCTATGTCGTCTATGCTGTCTGCAGTACTGAGTACATGACATGCTATGCCGTCTATGCTGTCTGCAGTACTGGGTACATGACATTCTATACCTTATATGCCCTCTGCAGTACTGAGTACTTGTTATCATATGTCCTCAATGCTGTCTTCAATACTGGGTAAATGGCATTCTATACCTTTTTAGCTGCCTGCAGTAGTGGGTACATGGCATTCTATACCTGCTATGCTCTCTGCATTACTGGATACTTGATATTATATGTAGTCTATGCTGCTTGCAGCACTTGGTACATAGCATTCTATACTTTCTATGCTGGCTGCAGTATTGGGTACATGGCATTCTATACCTTTTATGCTGCCTGCAGCACTGGGTACATGGCATTCCATGCTTCCTGCAGTACTGGGTACACGGCATTCTATACTTTCTATGCTGGTTGCAGTACTGGGTACATGGCATTCTACACCTTCTATGCTCTCTCTGCAGTACTAGGTACATGACATTCTATACCTTCTATACTTTCTGCAGTACTGAGTACTTGTTATCATATGCCCTCAATGCTGTCTTCAATACTGGGTAAATGGCATTCTATACCTTTTTAGCTGCCTGCAGTAGTGGGTACATGGCATTCTATACCTGCTATACTCTCTGCATTACTGGATACTTGATATTGTATGTCTTCTATGCTGCCTGCAGCACTGGGTACATGGCATTTTACACCTTCCATGCTTCCTGCAAAACTGGGTACATGATATGTTATGCCTTCTATGCTGCCAGCAATGCTAGGTACATGGAGCTTTTTGCCTTTTGTGATGTCTGAGGTACAGAACACAGGACATTCTGAGACATCTATGCTGCCTGCAGCACCAAGTGCATGGCATTCTATGCCTTTCTATGCTGCTTACAGTACTGAGTGCATGGCATTATGTGCCTTCTATCCTGGCTGCAGTAATGAGTGCTTTGCATTTTATGCCATCTATGCTTTTTGCATTACTGGGTACATGGCAGTCTATGTCTTTTATGATACATGCAGTACTGTGTACATGATACTTTAAATCTTCTATGTTGCCTGCAGTATTTAATACATGATATTCTGAATCTTCTCTGATGGCTGTAATATGGGATACAGGGCATATTCTAAGGAGGGTACATGTATTTCTTTATTCACCCAGCACTCTGTTTACAGCCAGCTGAGGCCATACTTTTCCTTCTAACTGTCATTTCTTCCTGCCTACTGCAAGCAGACTGTTTGCCACAAACTATTTATAATATCCCACTGGACTGTTAAATTGAAAATCGTGTAGCCACCTTCTTTATTTCAGAAATGCCTGCAGAGTGTTCTATGCTATAAGCAGAAACTTTCTAAAAATGTAAACCACCACATTTACAGTAATGTTCTTTATATAAATCCTCTATAATAATAATACAGAGATATCCCACTGATTTATAAAGGTATATGTTTAATTCACTGAATATTTTGTATTGTCTTAAGAACATTATATGCTATAACTAGAATATGCATAATAATATACGTAGTGATGGCACTTGGTTTCCTCCGTTCACCCTTAGATTTCTATGGAGGCAGATGGAATAAATTCAAAACCTGCCACAGTGTGGCACATAGGCTTGTAGTTTCAAAAAATGCCTCTTAAATAAATATTTAATTCCTAAAATGTAAAGTTTGTGAGACAGATGTATTCATTACATTATTAATGTACACTTTTCCTAACAGAAATATGGGTGCTGCCATTGCTGAACTCCATACATTTCCAGTTGCCTGGCTGTCTTGCTGAAAATGTGGTTTCAATACTTTCCAAGTCATTGACCCCATGAAAGTATGTAGATAAGGAAAGTTAGAGTGAAGTCACAAGTCCTTATCTGTGTAATTGTTCTTGGTTATGAACTCCAGCTGGAGCAAGGTGACCAAGAAAACCAGGCAAATAGAATTTGCAGAGTGGGAAGTCATCCATGGCAGCCTCTATGTTACTCTAAGGCAGGGGTCTTGAAACTTTCTAAAGAAAGGTTCAGTTTTATTGCCCTACAAACTTTAGGGGGCCGGACTGTGGCAATAGCTTTACTTACTTATAAAAACAAACAACTTGGTGGTGTATATCTAACTGGAAATGTTATTTGGTCATAGGAAATGTATATTTACTAGTGGCTAGAGTTTAGTCTATCACTTTAAATGTTGTATTGTATAAAGAATCCATGACCTCAGTTGGGCCGTGGACTCTTTGGGGTTTATTTACTAAAGCTGGAGAGTCCAAAATCAGACTCCCTTATGCATAGAAAACCAATCAGCTTCCAGGTTTCATTGCCAAAGCTTCATTGAACAAGCTGAGGTTAGAAGCTGACTGGTTTCTATGCAGAAGGGAGTCTGATTTTGGACTCTCCAGCTTTAGTAAATAAACCCCTTTATGCCTCTCCTGAACACTTTACATATTAGCTGAATGATAAAACTCTGTATACAAATGGCTAATTCTAATAATTGAGGAATATACAGTTATGGCCAAAATTATTCAACCCCCAATGCTGTAAAGGGGTTTAGGGACTATAGTGTACATTTGGAATTGTATTCAGAATCAAATCCTACAAGGACGTTGTAACTACCCAAATGCAACTAAAATGACATCAATTGTTTATGTAATACAGTAGTAAATGGTTCTTATGTGGTTTCTTCATTGCCACAATTATTCAACCCCTTAAAGACTACCACTCTGAAGAACAGAGGTTCATACAGGTGCTTTCCATCAGGTATTGAAAACACCTGTGGATGTCACCGAGCAGCAATCAAGCATAATAAGCACCAATTAGGCAGCTTTAAAATGACTGTGATACTCAGCTCCTTCTAGACATTTACTGGTGTGGTTACAAACATGGTGAAGGCAAGAGAATGGTCCAGGAAGACAAGAGAAGAGGTGATTTCTCTTCACAGGAAGGGCAATGGCTATAAGAAGATTGCAAAGATGTTAAACATACCAAGAGACACCTTAGGAAGCATCATTCGCAAATTCAAGGCAAAGGGCACTGTTGAAACGCTACCTGGTCGTGGCAGAAAGAAGATGCTGACTTCGACTGCTGTGCGCTACCTGAAGCGTAGAGTGGAGAGAAGTCCCCGTGTGACTGCTGAGGAACTGAGAAAAGATTTGTCAGATGTGGGTACAGAAGTTTCAGCCCAGACAATAAGACGCACACTGCGTAATGAAGGCCTCCGTGCCAGAACTCCCAGGCGTACCCCCTTGCTGTCTCCAAAGAATAAGAAGAGTCGACTGCAGTATGCCAAAAGCCATGTGGACAAACCACAAAAGTTGTGGGATAGTGTTCTGTGGACTGATGAAACAAAATTAGAACTGTTTGGGCCCATGGATCAACGCTATGTTTGGAGGAGGAAGAACAAGGCCCTATGATGAAAAGAACACCTTGCCTACTGTGAAGCATGGTGGAGGGTCAATCATGCTTTGGGGCTGTTTTGCTTCTGCAGGTACAGGGAAGCTTCAGCGTGTGCAAGGTACCATGAATTCTC